ATTGCCGGCAATGGGGTGGGCGCGGCTTCCGGATGACACATCCGGCCCGTGGGCAGGCAGTTTGACACCCCTGATCTATCTCTATGCAATAAAACGGGGACTGGGTTACTTGCAGAATCAGATTTTCTTAGAAAAACTCATGGAAAGATATGAAGGCAACAACCCAGTTTTGTATCATTATGGGCTGAATATAGAACTGGTTGTGTAACAAACAACTTTTGTGTCACCTGGTCAGCAATAATGGCTGAACTTACCAAAACCTCATTCTGATCTTTAGTCATGTGACTGAGCCATGAGTGTTCAGAAAGTATAAGCTGTTCTCATAAATGTTAATAAGAATATTTGGATTTTTCTCATCTAAATCCCTAAATCTAGTACTATTAAGGCCTGAGTGGCAAAGAATCCAGGCAGTCATTATATAATAGCAAAGATCTGGTTATATTCTGTGTCACTTTACTGCCAACTAGTGGTTGCCTGGTTTTTGGCAGCCTAGATTTCCTTGCTCTTCCTAAAATGTCATTGTTAACTTTCATGGCATTTAAATATGATTAATTTCTTACTTCACAGATTAGCAATTTAACTTAGCTTAAGTAAAATGGAGTGTCAGGTTAAAGCTACCCTCCTTAGATATTGACAGATTCTCTGCCACTTTTAAGACAGAAATTAATCAGGCCCTCTTTTAACTAAAGCTGATTTGGAGTCAGTAATTTGCCACAGCAATAGAATGTTAAAAAGGTGGCCATCTAATTTTCTTATCTCCTTCATATCTTTAAAGAGTTCTGCCGAAGTGGGGAAGAGTTAAAACACATCTTATGGTTTTAATCATTCTTTGAATTCAAGGTAGATTATCAAATTAAGCATGTTTGAAATAGGAATCCATGCTATTCGTAGTAATTTCTGCACCAAAAAGCTGCACAACCAACATGGAAAGCAAAATCTGTCAACTCAGTTTCAACTCTAACAAACCGCATGCATTAGAATAACAAGTTGGGAAAAGCAATGGAGATAGTATGGCACACATACAATAGCTTTTTAGGCTGCAATCTCTTTTAGATTAAACTCCACCAAACTTAAAAGGAGCTAATTCCTTTTCCTTTTAAGGGTTAGGATTATGCCATCAGTGCCCAAGCTTTAAATCATCAGCTCTATCATAATGACTGCATTTTATGATTGACGTCCTCCTGAAGCAAGTTGATGGAACAGATTAGCCACCATGAAACTATACCACACCACGGTCTAGTGGTTAAAGCACCAAGGCTAGAAATCAGGAGACTGAGTTCTCATGCCACCTTAGGCATGAAAGCCAGCTGGGTGATCTTGAGCAACTCACTCTGTCTCAGCCCAGCTCACCTCGCACAGTTGTTGTTGTGAGGAAAATAGGAGGAATAGGAATTATTAGATATGTTCACCACCTTGAGTTATTTATAAAAATAATAAGGGCGGGATTAAAGAAACTAAAATAAAAAAATAAAACTGCACTGCTGAAAGTTGGGTGATCATTATCTTGACCAGGCATGCCCAACTTGCAGCCCTGGACAGCTAGTAATGCAGCCCCAAAAGATCATGAACTGTTAATATTATTGTGTGATTTATATACATTAACTATGGTATATATTTTATATCCAGACCAAGACAATTCCTCTTCACTCAGTGTGGCCCAGGCTAATCAAAAAGTTGGGCACCCATGGTCTAGATGAGGAGACAGAATGCCAGAGCCTCACATTGCTCTCCCTTGTCTGTTCAATTCTTTGCTTCCGTTCAAGTGTCAGCCTAAAGGGTTTTTGCTCTGGATAATAACGGAACAATTAGCAAAAATCTTGCTGATTATGGGAAAAATAGATCAGCTGTTCTTATGCCCTAGACTTATTTCCTCCCTGCAGTCATTTACACTGGACCTTGCACTCACTCACTGACTTTCCTTTAGTGCATAAAATGATCTTTGGACTCTGTAATCAGAGCCTGCTGTTTCTGGCATAGTTTCTTTTCTTTTCTCTTTCCCT